CCAAGTGCAATGGCAATAACACGAACACCATCATTCTTCAGCTTCTCAGACGCAATTTGTACTTCTTCCTCACTGCTGTCTGATCTCTTATCAGTGATAACCACTAAGACCTTCATTGCATTTGGCCTCGCATCTTCAGCTAAGGCAAAAAGGTATCGCGCTTCTTCCAGAGCTTTGTCAAGAGCTGCGTCACCGAAGGCTTTCTTTACATTATCAACAAGTGTGCCAAGTTCCTCCTCAGTGTCGAAAACGTTGTCAAACCTGATTTTAACATCAGGAGTGGCGCCAAACGTGATGAGGCTGTACCTGACACTGTGAAGGCCAAACTTTTCAACCGTCTCCTTGATGATTTCTTTCGTTTTCTCGAAGTTCTTGTCTTGATCCACAGCAGTTGTACTTATGACGAAGGCAAGGTCCATTTCCGGTACGAAAAGTGTTTCTGGAAGAAAATGAAAATAGAAACAAAGATCTGGATCAGTTTGCTCACATCAAGGTTCTTGCTGCACTGTGCACATCTACGTGAAAAGTATGTTCATAACGGATACTAACTGACCTACAGATAGGCAGACTGACAGAAAAGAACAGACAGATAGATATATAGATACACATACAGACACACAGGCACACAGACGGACAGACAGACAGACAGACAGGTAGAGAAACAGACAGCAACAGACAAATAGACAGTCAGACAGACAGACAGAGAGACAGACCTACAGACCGACTGACCGACCGACCAACAGATAGTACGCGAGTCTGCTGACAAGGATATTGAGTTTATGTTATGCTTTACACATAAAAATATTTGGCAAATATCATTGCCAACATGTCAAACAACATAAGCAAAAATAAATACAACTAAAAGTACCTTCTATAACCTTCGCCATGATTACTTTAACCAGGATCTTAGTGGTTGAAGTATCTGGTTTTGTTATAACATCCTTCTTACGCGGCGTTAGCGTTTTCAACTCTGCGCCATCTGTTTCGCCTCCCAACCCAACTGGTATGACCTTGATTTGAGCCTGCTCCAGAAGAGAAGCTTTTTCACGTAGCTCGTTTTCGTCGCTGTCAGATTTTGTATCTGTTATCACCACCAAAACCTTTCTGACACCGGGGCGGGAATATTTGTTAAATATTTCCTGTGCTTTTTGGAGCGTAGCAGCCAATGCGGAGCCAGATGCGCGATCAACTGACTTTAAGGTTTTCAGCAGCTCATCGGTTGGTAAATTATCGTTGAACTGGATTTTAACGTCTGGAGCGGAGCCAAAGACGATGACACTGTAGTGAATTCTCTCCTGACCAAACATTTCTACTATCTCATCGATGAGAGCTTTCATCTTTTGGAAGTTGGCTTCCGACTGGGCGGCATTGGCACTGATGGCAAAGGCCAGATCCACTTCTGGTATGATGGGCAAATCTACACGTGAACAAAAAGGAAATATAAATATAAAAATAAATAAATTACAACATTTAGAGAGAGACCCACATCAGCTTTAGCTGGTTTTCATACAGTTCCTCTATCCTGGTGGAATTGGAATTTGGAGATGTTCGTTTTGGGGAGGAAGGAAAACCGGAGAACCCGGAGAAAAACCCTCAACAACAAACTCCCCCACAAGATGACTAAAACTATACATTATTATAGAAATGACGTATTGACAAGCCATATTTGTACGCCTAACGGAAGTAATTGTAGGTAATAGATGTTTTAAGTTTTTTCCTACAGGATGCAAGAGATGAAGAGCTACTGATCTCAAGAGGAAGAGAGTTAAAATATTTTGGACCACGATAGAAAGCAGAGAATTGCCGAATATTAGTTCTACATAACGGAAGACGAAAGGAGTGTGCTTTCCTTTCGTGGTAACCATGGATTTGGTCGTTTGTCTTAAATATGTT